CGGGGACAGCTCGGGCGTCTCAACACTCAGGCAGCACTCTGTACTTACAGTTCTCAATGTTGCCTGAATTTGGCGGCCCCGCGAAAAGGCGCCCTCGCCGGTCGTCTTTTCTCGGATTCTCTGATCAGCTAGCCTCGGCAGATGCCTTTCTCGCGGGCGCCGCACTGCTCGCGTTCCGTCCTGAAAAGTTTAACAGCACGGACGCCGGACCCGCCTTCAATGCCCTTTACACCGACTAGTTTTTGGCTGTCATGCATCAATAATACGACCGAGGATACATTTCCGACTATTTTGCTCTTTCTCTTTCACTTTCAGTTTTCTTTCACATTGCGAACAGACCTTTCCCGGCTTTGCCGCGCACCGATGTCTCCGTATTTCGCTGCCCCACCGCAACCATGCCCTAACTCTGCCAACGCTTGCCGTTGCGCTTGGAGCTCGGCCTAGCTGGCTCATGCTCTTCTACCGGGCGCCTGCCACCGCTCTGCCTTCTTCGCGATCGCCAAAGTCATCATCAAGAGACTTTGCGCTGCGTTAACGCCCCACATCACCGCTTTTCTTGTCCCCTTGCAGTGTTGCTCCGTTCTGCAATCGACCTAGTCGCTTCCAACTTCTTTTGATCTTAAGTTTCCCGCGGCACCTCTCCCGCACCCTCCATCTCAGGACCAGATGGCAGTGTATCTGATCCCCGCCAGCGTGGTCTGGATGCCCTAAACCTGACCTCTATGGTTGGGGACCCGGGCAAGGACTTCATCTGTACCGTTTTGGCGGCGGAGCATTCATTAGAGCATTTGTGTTCCGTTGTGGTGCGAATTTGTGTAATAGCGAGCACAATCGCACATAGTCCCCTTCCATTCTGTGTTCTTTGCGTGGAACTTCATGCGCAAAGGAAGCTGCGTCGTTCGCCATATGCTGTTTCGGGTGCCGACAACCTTGCGCTGATCAGTGGTAAAGCAGGCAAGGGGCGCCATTGTCCGGTGTTTGCACCCGGGGATAGCGTTCGGTCCTCCTCGCCGGCCGTGTCCATGCCATAAATGAATTCAAGGGCGAGTTGACGCTCCTAGTCTCGGTTGGCACGACGAAAGCTATGGCTCGTCTCTGCCTTGTTAGTTACAATCTCGGAAAGGGAGTCGCCAGGTTTTTCCTGCTGGCGAAATCGAGTTCTGTGAATCGATTTCGTCGTCGTCGAAGTCGTTCAAAAAAGTCATCTCCACACGCGAGATTGATCTCACTTTGCTCAAAGCGACTTTTAGCGACCACTGAGCCTGGAGAGCGTTGTTAAGTTTGGCTGCAGCCACTCTAGGCCCGAAGTCACGGAGCGGGCGATGACACGTCAGTGCGTACATCGAAGTGCTCTATCCCACCCCGAAAGCGACCGGCGAATAAATTGTCCGTCTCGCCACATCCATTGCCTTTGCCGAGAATCCTTGCAAATCAAATGCTGTCAATCGGTACATTTTCGCGCGTGCCCGCTCGCGTTGCCTGTGACTCTCTGCTCGAGTACATCCACCTTCCCTTCCGTCCTTACCCGTCTTCATCCATCATCATGTCAAACAAGTTCCCTTACGACGGCAGAATTGCCAACCAGACCCTGCTCCCAGTCCAGAGGCGATCCTGGACTCTCAAATTGGCGAACGCAGCAGCACAAGAAGGAAAATGTGAGCGGAAATGCGATTGCGGGGTAATGTTCCCACGCTGCCGCTGCGATATTGCTTTGACCTAATCGCCACTTGCCTGGGGCCTCTCTCTCTCTCTCTCTTTCGCAGGCCCATGTCTCACACCCGTGTCATGGACGCCGATGTTCAGTGTCGATTCGGCGTCGTGATTCCCAAAAACCGGAACAAGCGATTTGCTCCAAAGGACGGCGAACCGGATCTTGCGGCTCGTAAGAAAGCGAAGCAAGAGAGGCGGGATCGCATAGCAGGAAATTGCATTTCTCCCAACACTTTGCGATTGCAATGGGACACGATGATGAAGCACCGCGATTGGGCAGAGTACAACTTGCCGGATGTGGAAGTCGATAGCTATCTGCCAACAGTCGATGAGCTCTCCGACTGGTCCCTTGCCATGTTTGACGAGCTGCCGAGCCCACGCGGGGCTCAATCGATTGCACTTGAGAATGATGACCGCGAGACCGCTGATCGTGAGAACGATTTGGCCAGCCCGGGAGATGGTGTCGCGATTCCCACTGAGCGGATGCAGCAGATGCTGGATGTGTTCGATGGTCGCCAGGCAAAAGATTCGAGGGACCGGCGATGGCTGCAGTGCTATCAAACAGTCAAGGCGCATCTCAAGCGGATCGAGATTTGGATTGGAACGCTGCCGGCCTTCAAGGCCAAGTCAAAGGACGATCAGCTTGCGTACTGGCAAACGATGGACGCCTTTTTTGCCGATCTGCGCGCGACATATCCACGCTGGTGCGATGGGCGCAAGTCTCGTGATTACATAGGCCACGATGAGGCCAAGATCATCATTACCGAGCTCGATGGCATGTTGTCTAAGCGGATGTATCTCGGCATTGTGCGAAAAGATTGCAATCCTTGCGATGCATTCGCACGGAGTGCGGGTCTCGTCGACAACGTCGCAGCGATGCTACGCGGCGTGGAATTGGAGCCATCAATCGCCATACAGCCAGAGGACAGAAGTCGGAGACCCCACACAGGAAAAGAGTGCACTGCGCGGCGGCTGTGGGGGGTCTCCAACTTTTGTCCACTGACCTGTAGGTGCCGCAGGTAGCTGATTGATTTCATTTACCCACACAAAGGTAAATAGGTTGCCAGCCACCCATATTTCTTTTGCACGGCGTTCACCGCGAACGCGCAATCCCATAAACTTAACGAACCCTGAATAAATAAAAAATAAACACCCTTTACGGCCTCTTAAGTTTCACGCACAACAATGGTCACGTAAAATTGACTGTGACTATTGCGAAGCGGGAGGACATTGAACAATGGAAGTCTGTGTTTTCTCACAATACCACTACCGCGATCAATCTTCGACTCCCTACGGCACGGAATGGGAGTTCGGGAAGAGCTATCTACGGAAAATACACACGGCGGAGCCAGTTATGGAACCGCTGGTCCTTCTTGCGGCCAGCGTGCCACTGACCGGCATGTCCACTGACATCGGTGATACCTCCCGTTCCGGAGTCGGCCTCGCCCCTGCACGGCCGGCTGGTTCGTCCACCGACATCGGCGACCCTTCCCTCAGATTTCTCCTGCTCCTGCTCCGCAACCATTACCCGGCTGCGGTCACCTGTGAGGTCACCGTGCGCCTCCTCGATCAAGAAACGGAACATAGCCTGGTTCCAGAAATGGTTGCGATCGACCGACGTATCGTACCATTGCAGAGAATCGGACAGCGTTCGCTCCTGATTGCCGATGGCCCACTCGGCCCGACTAGGGAAAACAATCGGCCCGGCACGCCAAGTATCGTGGTTGACTCCAAAGACCATCGCCATGTACCCATCGCGTGCGGCGCGCTCGTAGAACTCAATCGCGTCCATCTCACTCGCCCAGCTTACAAGCAATCGAGCATGGTCGCCAACCACCTCCGGCAGGAAAACACCCGTCCAAACCGGCCTGATAAGGCCGTAACCATCGATCGCCGCCAAAAAATCGCCATCAGAGTAGATCCGCGGAACATGCCGGATCTCCATATCGACACGCAGATCGAGATTTCGCGATCGAACCCGACAGGACCTTCCAACGATCGCGGGCAATCTGAAGAGCGCTCTTGGGGCCTGCTTGAAGGCCCCTCAGCAGATCGGCAATCTCCTGGTCGGGACCAGGAATCGCGCCCGCACCGACAATCATACGAGCAACGCGCGAAGCGATCGTGGCGGCGGCAGAGGCGAACCTCCTTGCATCGATGGCGAGGACAACGATCGACAAGGATACCAGGAAAATACCAATGAGAGACATGGTGTTGGTAAAGACGCCCGTCGAAGCCAAAGAGCGATCTGTATCGCGGGCGAGGTCCAGGTCCAGATCGCTCTTTGGCTTCGACAGGCGTTGAGACCCACTCGACGTTGTCCGTGCTTGCGTCGAGTAAATTTGGGCGGCGAAACTTCAGTTCCACACTTCCGGGGGGGTCTTGAAGGACAATGATGTTCAAAAGCGCCTTCACGATGCGAATATAAGTTTTGCCGCCAATGGCTGCAATCCTCACCGTGCGGTGACGGTCGAAGGAAAGCTTCAATGCGCTAAATACCCAAACTTTTTGTTCCAACTCTTGGATGGACACACGCTCGAAAGCTTGATCTGCTTCAGCATGGTCAGCAATGTCCCTGTAGGGGACCGGTGACACGCCGATGGAGAGGGCGAGTGCGGCGGCAATCGGCGCGGTCGGAACGGTAGCCAAGGTGATCGACGCGAGGGCGGTCGCGGCAGCGGTGCGGGGTGGGCATGGATGACACCGGCGGCCGAGACAATGTTAGTGCGGCGTTGTTGACGACGGTAGCGATCGCGCATGCGCCCATCATTGCGAGGGATACAGAGAGAGAGAGATGCAGGGAGAGATGAGGAGAGTGAGAGAGAACGAGAGCCAGCGAGAGAAAGAGCTGGCTTTATATGTGCTGTGATGTGGAGGTGACATGTCAAGCGCTGGGCGGCGGTCTAATATCTACTCTCCAGGCTTGGCGCCCCAGCTTATCGTTCCCCTCCTGTGGCATCGATAACAAAGAGCCAACCAATCACACGTGGGGCAGAGGTGGGGACGTCTCCACAGTGTCCACACTCCCTCCAGCCCTCTTCCTCTGCCTTTCGCTGTCTGTTCTTGTGACACAAGCAACAGAAGCTCGGTGACGTCGACAAGATGGGCGCCTGTCTTTGGAGAAAAGCTCCTTCTGCGCTGTGGAGCTTCTGACGGTCCCCCGGAAGAGGCTGAGTCGGGTGCCAGAATGAGGGATCTTGCCCGCAAGCGAGCACTAGGACTTACTGCAGCGCGCTTGCCAGCGGGTACTATGGGAATAAGTTAGGTTTGTAACATGAGTATACATATAAGCCCTTATAGCTCAGCGGTAGAGCGCTGCTCTTGTAAAGCAGAGGCCCCAGGTTCAATCCCTGGTGGGGGCAATATCTTTTTGGTTTTCTCTGTTTAGAGTCGCGCTCCACCGCTGCGCGGACTGCCCCAACGCCGGATATTGTAGAGATGTCTAGGCAGCATTGCAACTTACCGCACGAGTGGCGAGACAAGATTTTGTAGGCGCACAGGGCGTCGATAACCAGCGGTACGTGCATTTACGCACCCCACTTCAAGCACGCAACTGATTCCGCGTGCTGGTATCAACAATCGATACACTGCGCTGGAGTGGTCCTAGAGACGAATGACAATGCGTGGCGTAGTGGGCAGACAGTGGACCATGGAGCTCACACCAGATTGGAGCTTACATGGGTGAAAAAATGCAAGACTTGTTCAACGCTTGTTTGCAGCAGGAAGGAAAGAGGCGAGCGGGGAACTGGCTGCTTCAGATATGCGTGGACGGCGATGACTCTGAATGTCTCACTGCCCTTCCGGTAATTGCTTTACCCTTCCCACGCTACGTGCAAAAGCACAATTTCACATTGGCCAGGTGCTGTCTGTGTCTTCTCAAGAATGTTTTTTCCTTCTTCATTCGTTTCCTTCAGCGCATTGTTCTTCCGGGCCGGCAAAGCATCACCGCTCACTTAATTCATCCAAGGTCATACACTCTTCCACCACACGAAGCACAGTTTTCAACAGCTCTGCAATAAAAGCAGGGTACAACAAGTCGACTGCGTCAGGATCCATGTCATGGCTGTGAAGAATGAAGGCAACAATCCGAGCAATGTGAACCGCAAAGCGGACAGGATGGGTAGCAGCTTGGGTTTCTGGATGCCAGGAAGCCAGAAAGACAAAGGTTTAACAGGCGCAACATATGAGCCATGTTCACGTATGTGGGCGCATTACCGTGCCGGCGGCGAGGAGCTCTGGCCTGACGAGAAGTAGTGATGTGGCCGCAGCGCCGGCCGCGTGTGCTTGTGTTTCGAATGGCCATCCTTTGTTTCTCTATGGTTGTTTTTTTCTGGGTTGGTTGGTGCTGTAGACTTTCAGCGTTGTGCGAGAGAGAGAGAGAGAGTGTGTGTTTAACGTTGAGAATGGTTGCGAAGGAACGAGGGAGATCGCTCTCCGTCCTCGTTTTCCGACAGCTGCATGCGCCAACTATTGTGACGTGCCATCTGACTTTGACCTGCTTCCCTCTTGGCTCTGCCGCACGCCCGACATGATCACCGCAATACGCAACCACGCCACAGGAGCTCATAATTCTCTCTGTTGCGCTGGAGCTATGGCGAACGATGGCGGCTTCCTCCGCATGCTGACCCGAGCCGCGGCCTTTTTGGACGGCGATCATCACGGTCATTTACAGCAATGAGAGCGAAACGCCAGGACGACACTTCGCTTGTGAAGGTCGTGACTCGTGACGCCGCCGACGACAGTGCGGACTGCGGAGTACTAGCACAAAGCTTAAGCTATTACCGGCGGGTTCACCGCGAATGCGCAGCACGTCGGAGCCGACAACGTGTGATGTAGGTGTAGTCCAGCAGGGGATGACGCGATGACGCACCCCGAGTTGTCATTATTTTCGACAGCTACTCGAGTATAAAATGGTGGGCGCATCCCCTTCCTCCCACCCACAACACACACACAACAGCACCTGGATACACCAACAACGAACCCTTCATCTCATCCTCCCTTCTTTTGACCTCTCTCGCTTGCTCAACATGCACTCTCACAACAACAACCACGTCCAGCTCGAGAACACCGAGGCGCACGGCGTCAAAGGCCTCATCGCCAAGGCCAAGGCCGTCCTCCCCGGTCACCACGAATCCCCCACTACTTCCGCTCATCGTCATGAGCATGATCTCGCCCACAACAACAACCACAGCAATACTGCCGCGAAAGCCTCCGCTTCCGCCGCAGCCGGACCTCACGTTGGTTCATCTGGCCCTCACCATGCCCACGACCACCACTCACACAACGGTGGCCTTGTCGGGGACCACCACCTAAACCAACGCCACCCCGTCACTGTCGAGGACAACCGACAGATGGCGGCGGCGCTCGGCGCCACTGGATACCCGACCCCTGCTTCTGCAGCTATTCACGATCCTGCTTATGTGCACGATGGCGTATCCCGTACCCACCACAAATGATTAGATTCTCAATCCCTGTCTTCACACTTTACCATCTGAATTTCTGTACAAAGTCCCCAAGCTTTTTGCTCGCGCTGTATAAATTAAAATTTTGTCATTGCTCCGACTTCTTGTCCCTCTGTCTCTCTGTCTCGACTCTCGAGTGACTCTCAGATCCGGGGTGGCCCAAGGGGCAGCGAAGGGGAACTTGAAAGGATAAGAGACGAGTCCTCTTGCTCATTTGCAATTCAGCTTCACACCAAAAAAAAAATGCTACAGTGATCACCTTACAAATCAAAAAGTTTCGAGAAGGGCAACTTGCAGTAAACCCGGAACTTGGTTGAGAATTCTGCTTAGGTATATCACGAATGCCTTTTGATTGTCCGTGCATCGAGCGGCGCGACGAGGGGACCAGAATGTGGTACCGAGTGGCACAGCCACCCACACGCGTCTCCCCTCTTCCCTCACGCGTTTGTACAAGATGCACGCCATGAACATTCCCGATACATGTCGCCCGAGTTCTAGCCTGCATCGGTGCGAGTTTTAGTATAAGTTTCTCACTGTGCGATGCTATCTCAAAAGTGTACGTGACGAAACAGCGTCACGCCGAAAAATCCAAACAGAGCGAGCCAAGATGGCGAATGCGTTGCCGCGCCCTTTCCACTTGCGTCTCCCGACTCCCGAGCGCTGTGCGGGTAGCGAAGCAGAGAGTATGATAGGACAATGCCAAAATGATGAGAGAGGGAGTCGAACCCACTTGTCTATCTTGGCTGGTCTCTTCCAGCTCGCTATCCCTCAACGCGCATCCAACGCGCCGTGCTACTTGGGGCGGGGCACTTACTGAAAGACAGCCGAAGACTACGCGCACGCCCTTGGAGTTGAAACTGCGCACGCACGCGCATGGCGCCTGAGAGAAGAACGCCTAGACAACCCGGCCAGCCGGTCTCATCGATTATAATTGCTGTGAAAAAGTCGCTTTTGACCTTGAGACCCGTGTTTACCTCCTCACAAGTCCACAGCCCCACACCCTCAGTACCCCACCATTGCCCTTGCAGAACGCCTGCTCTTGTTAACCAAATACTCGCCCTTCGCCTCACGCTCTTTGTTGCGTAATTTCTCTCCTCCACGGCGCGATGCGGAATGCGCGCGACAGCCATGTCGAAGTGGGTTTCGGACCACCCGTATTTCCCAACTTCTGGCTTTCGCAAGTCAAAGCCTTCATCTCTGTTCTGTCACATTCCCGCTCTCGAGCCACCTATACACCAGTGAAGGGCTGTGGGTCGAAGGAACAACGAAAACTCTGATACAGCTGTCAGAATCGGCTTTAACTGCGCTGACAAAGACAGATCAACTTCCTGCGTCTATATTCACTTCTTCTCTTGCATTTGTGTGAATACTAATCACCGTTGAAGCGCTGTCAACGTGTCTTGTAAGGATACAATCTGTCATGAGAGGAGTTGGACGTGTACCGGAATGCCGGTTGATGGGACACGCGGCTCGGGCGGGGGAAGAAGGTTTACCAAAGGTAGAGCACAGCGACTGACAGCAAGGACGTGGTCCAGTAACTTCGACGGCTGCCGCAAGGCAGCTGCTAGCGAGCGAAATTGAAATCGTCGGAAATTATCATTCAGCGCTGAATACGCCCCCTGTCTGCTTTCAAAGGGACTTCTAGGCAGTGCCGGGAGAGTGGGTATATTGTGCAAATGTTCATAAACACGCTTTGGTCGCTTTATCTTAGTCTCTCCATATCGCGCGACTGATGACCGACCGCTTCAGGGAATCGCCACCTTCACCGTCTCCAGCCGTCCATCCCCCAGGCACATCGCGATGCGATGCAAGCGTGGGTCGGCAGCTTCGTCGGCCTCAGTCGGCGGCAACACGGCCATGTCGCGCACCCAGTTTTGTAATGGATGAGCGAGGATGAGCTAGAGTTCAAATCAACCGTGTTAATACACAAATTCTTTTCGCTCCCATTATGTCTGCTGTGTTACCTTTTGACCTTTGTAAATACGCAGCTGGCAGAACAAGCCTGTAGCCACAAATGCCTGTTCCTGGTCACCACTCTGGCCTGGCGCTGCCGGCAGTGGGGCAATGTGTGTGACAGTCGACCATATGGGAAGGTATCGCGCAGGGACCAATGTGGCACCGTCGATAATGAAGATATCGCCGTGAACGCCGGCAGCAAGTACTTGAATCCCGAGTCCGGGACGAAACGAGCCCGAGGCCATCTATATGGGATAACAGATTTAGTACTCTATGGACCCACGGTTCATGATCGCGCCGTCCGCTCACCGTGGTGATGGCACTGGGCATGCCGATGGTCCGTATGCGCGTGTCACCGGAGAAGACTTGGATGGAAGGCGCGCCATCCGCGATGAACGTGAGTTGCACGCTCAAGGGAGCCGGGAGTGTGACGTGAACGATGCTGGTAATAGCGGGTGATGGAGGGAAAGGTTGCTGCGCGAATCAAAGCAATTGGTAACGAGTCGTCGAGGAAAGGCCCTCAGCTTTTTACTTACCGGAGTCGGTGAATAACCCATGCCACCAACTCGCATTCGCCACAGAATGTGCAATGCGTTAAATGCGGTGACGGTGCCTGCCGCGTCACCGGCGAGTACATATTGATTGTGGACTGGCAGAAGTGCGGAGCGATGAATACAAGGGAGTGAAAAGACAGGCGCTCGCTCACTGTCACCCTCCAGACTCACGCATGTCTGTCACTCCTGCCAAGGCCGTCACCGCCGCGCCTACTCGGCATTCTCCGACACATTTCCACGCTGAAAACACCCGACATTCGCCTTTTGAATCGCCGATAATCAAATCATGACCACCAGCGCTATGAGGAAACAGCGAGAATGCTAGCAGTGCGGTTATTGTCGCCTGCTTGGTTTCGTGTTGGACTGGTTGTGCGGGTGCCGCGAGCTGAA